TTACATCGTCTAGGAAGAAATGGTTTGACAGAACACAACTATGCCGACGGAAAAAGGAATAAATTGATGAAAAGAGGTTGAGGAAGATAATTTAACTAGTCAACATTATGGTTTACCAATGGGTTTCGGGGATTGATAGGGATGCTGATGGTGATAAGGAGAAGCATGGGGACCATTTGGAATGGAAAGACTCCTGTGCCCATTCCTTGAAAGTGATCCAGCTGGATTTCGGATACCATTTCTAGGAATTGGATTGGATCCGACTCGTTCCGCTTGCATTGTCTGAAAATAATGATGAGCTTGCCATGTCCTTGAGATTTGGTAGAGGCTTCAACGACTCCACCACTTCACTCATCAGGGGTCTAGCTTTTGGATCACGGCTTAGACAGTGAACAGCCAGCTGTGCAGCTTTCTGAGCACCTTTAATCGAAAAGTGACCTTCAAGCCTAGGATCAATCAATCTATAGAATCTTCTTCTCACCTAGATGAGGTCGAGCCCATTCCACAAGATTATGCTCTCCGTTAGGTCGGTTTTTGTCCATGGATCTTCTACCAGTCAACATTTCAAGTAAAACCACACCAAAGCTGTACACGTCACTTCTTGAGGTAAGATGTCCTGAGATAGAATTAATGTTCATTTGAATTACACCCAACGAGGAGAACCAAAATAAAGTGTTCCTTGCATCTCCAAACTAGGAGAGCAGCAGGTAAAAAAAAGATGCATTACGATAAATTTATAAAGGAGAAGAAATTTGAGTTCATCAAGAAAGTAATTGCAAAGCACACAATAAACGGTGAAAAGGTTTCTGACAAGCCAAGTAATCCGGCTATTTTTTATTCTTCTGAAAAGCATCTTAAATAATCAACTGACGTCATAAACTCAAGCTGCCTCCACTCCTGTTAAATGAATACTGATTCAATGGGATGGAAATGTCAACAGGCCGTGATTCCATCTAAAGAGCATGCAAGGGCATTCTACAAGCACTTACCCAGCAAAATAGTTTGGTGTTCATCAGCCAAGGTGCAATACCATAAGAAGTTTCTATGTCTAACAAAGTTTCCAATTTTCTTTAATTGCCTATTTCAAGTAGGTAAGGCTTCGAATAACAATTACACGTGGAACCTCTAAACTTTTTACCATTGCATTTGACTGTGGCCCCTAAACAATTGGGCGAGATATAAAGAATTCAATAACAATTAGAGATTAAAGAACCATGCTGAAGGAGGAAGAGGAGCTAAACTACAGAGTCTGGCATGCGCCGAAGTGTGTCATGTTCTTCATAGAAAAGCACGAAAACATGCTTCAAAGATTGGAACATTCATTCATCATAAGTAAAAGAAATTGTAAAAATTAAAAGATATCTGCCCAAAAGAACAATTAGATCATTGTCCATTCTTTTATAACTTCCATTTTTAGACATATTTGCATATAAAATCCCGCTCATACACAATAAAGAGAAATATTGAATGATGCTTAAAAAATATAAAATCATAAAGCAGACAAATAAAGTTAAAGCTACCTTGCACATCTTTTAACTGTCAAGTATAAAGTTGGAAGAGCATGCAAAACAGGGAAGGGAAGGGTAAAGTGGCAAATTTAAACAAGCATTCCCTTTCTATTAAAGCTTACCGGTCATTACGTATTCAGGGGCTGCATAGCCATATGTTCCCATCACACGGGTTGATACATGGGTTTTGTCTCCCTCCGGACCATCTTTAGCGAGCCCAAAATCAGAAAGCTTTGCATTATAGTCCTGCAATGCATATTATTAGCTGTAAACCATTCCATAATAATAGTTCTTGTTTTATTTGTATCATTAAACAGAAACTTTTTTTGAGGTAAAGTTTTTGGCACATACTGCATCTAGTAGGATATTAGAGGTTTTGAAATCGCGGTATATCACGGGTCTTTCTGCCTCTTCATGGAGAAATGCAAGACCTTTTGCAGCACCTAGTGCAATTTTCATCCTTATGGACCACGGAAGAGGCAAGGATCCTATATAAGCAACTAGCTGAGTTACAATGTTAATTGGAAACATAAAACCTCCCATCACAGCACATAGCTATAAGAAACATGTAGAATATCAAGAGAGAAGTAATACCAGTTCAGTCTAAAAGGTCAGCATTTTCTAAAGTGGACTGTAAATACATTATTTTTGGAATTCAATCTAAAAAGCAGCCATATGTCAGAGATAGATGATAGTTGTTGTAAGTTGTAACTTCTAACTCAGCTTTACATAGTTTTGAATGAACATTTATTATGCCTCAAAAATAAATATTCTTAAGTGAAAAATCATTCATAGACAAAATAGCAGCTACATACTTCTGAAGAGGTGGTTCTCCAAGCTTCCACGAGGCATAAACTCATACGCTAACAGTCTCTGATCATCTTCAATACAATAACCAATAAGTTTAACCAGATTAGGATGGATGAGATCCCCAAGATAATTCACTTCAGCCTGACAAATTGATGATCCAAGAATCAAAAAAAGATTACTTAGAAGAAACAAAAAGAAAAAGTGAGGCACTAATATGAATGAGTAAAAGACAAAAAGCTGAGTAAATGTGCAAACCAGCCATTCTTTATGACCCTGGATGCCATCATGGTTGAGTGTTTTAACAGCAACAGTAAGCCCAGTGCCTGGTTTTACTGGAGCAGTTCCATTTTCTTCGATCCACCCCTTGAAAACACAACCAAAACCACCTTCACCAAGAAGACTCTCAGGTCTGAAGTTTCTTGTTGCCAACTTTAGATCATTAAATGTGAACTTCCGTAACCTAGATGCAACTTTAATCTCATCCTCAAGTTTGGAAGTAGATGAACTACTTTCTGCATTGCTAGTGGTTGTAGATGAGACAACTGGAGCTCCTGGTTGATCTTTACAGGTATCATAGGCTGATTTGCTATCTGTTCATCAATGCACAGATTTAACATGTCACAAGATAAAAATCATATAAGGCTCTAAGAGGAAAAACATAATGTAGGTTAGTTGCCAAAGCGTGGCTTTTAGTATACAAGATTGTAAAGCATCTTTGAGTTTCTCCATGTATCTAAAACTAGATTTTTCTCAGCAATGCCATACTTCATCTATAACCTTCTCAGGAAAAAAAAAAGAGAAAAAAAAAAGACGCAGCTACCACAATAGATTTTTTCTTCATATAAGCATTGATTTGCTACTACATCATGCATGAAGTTCAGCAAACCACCTAATTTACAGTGGAGTTCTTCAGTCAACAAATTAAATCTGTGTGTCCAGATTTCAAGATTGCTCATGAGAACAAGGGTTCAAAATGATCCAGGGCAGCAATTTCCCCAATCTCATAATATTTAAGCACCTCCAGGTTGGGGTTACACTATCATTGGATTAAGTATTCCAAAGTACAAATTTATGATTTTCTAAAGATAGTTAACTAGTTAAAATCTACTAATTGACGCCAATCATAACTAGAGAAAAACCCACTGCTTGAATTGTTAGACCTTAAGATGGATGCAGCATTTTATAAGCTGCACCAAGCTAAATTAGCTTCCCTATTATCATCTCCAAGCTACTTACAAACTGGCATCACAGCATTCAAATCAATAAATGATCATATCATTTCATCCAGAAAAATATGCCAAAAGTAACACTATTCAAAGAGACAAAAGGTAACTCAAAAAAGAAAAGAGCGGGTTGTACAATATAGTAGCAGAGCATAAGAAAAGGGATAACATCCAGCAAGAAGAAGAAGAAATCACCATAGTTGGTACTGGTCCCACTAACAGAAGTATCGACTTTGGATCTTGAAGAAATGCAGCTTCCAATTAATCTGAAACTAGGCCAACACCCTGTTTCTTCTACAGCAGCTTCATCATCAAGATCTTCTTTTTCACTGTGTTTCTTCTTCTTCTTCCTTCCCTTTGATTTGCACGTATCCCAAGACTTCACCTTTCCTTCCTCAAAACCTAATCCCATCTTCCCTCTTCTAACCCTAACAATTTCTCATATCATAAAAAAAAACCCACCAACGCTGATGGAGCAAACAGTTAAAAGCTGAATACCTAAAAACCCCAAATTCAAAAAATAAAAGGCTGGAAAATCTAAAACAAGAAAAACCCAGTGGAGGAGAGAACGAGACAAAAATTTTCAGTAGGAAAAAGAAAGATATATTTATAAAGTATAATGTTTATGGAATTTGGAAATGGTGAAGGGAAACAAGTTTTTACTTTGTTTTTCCATTTTGGATATGGAATTAATAAAACTCACTTGAAAGCAAGAAATGTAATGCACTCTCCTGATTGGATTTAGAATTTTGTGCAAGAACAAGAACTTGCAGTTCCCTAAGCTTACCTATTCTTTCCTCCACTGTTTTTTTTTAATTTTATTTATTATTTTTCCAATCTATTTTAAATCCAATCAAATTATTTATAATTATGATATTATGTGAAACAGCGTATAAATCAATACTTTAAAATTGTTTGACATTTTATGAATGAACGAATAACAAAGAGACTTTGGTCATCCATTCGATTGAAGCAATAAACTTTGTTACTAATTTCGACCTTTAAATATTATAAATAAAACCAGATCTAAACTTGCATATTTTAAAATTGAGAAAGAGGAGGGGTAGAGAAAGAAAAAGTGTGGGACCAACGCCGATAGTGACGTGTCCGCCTACCTTAGGCCTACATTGAAAATTCATTCATGCTTCTCTTTCTCTCTCCTCTCTTTGTTTTGTTTTGATCCGTTTTCACTTGGTATTTTATTAGATAAATTACAATTTCATTACTCAAACTGTCCAATTGACAAAGTGTCAACTATACATCCTTGAGGAGCTTATTTTTAACTATAGTTATTAAAGATATATATACATGTACTATAAAAAAAATAAACGGGAGAAAAATGACGTCTCAAATAAGTTGTAGCAGTCGAATGTATGAGGATTACAAATTCACAATTTTCAAAGTGTAACAACGGGGTTGTCTTTGAATCCTAACAACTTCTCTGTGGCCTATCATCTGCAAAAGCACTCAGGTCAGGTCTCACTCATTTCTTTCCAACAAATACAGTTTTCAAACCTTTAGCTTCATCTACAATACAAAGAACATTTGTTCCCATCAATGGGGGTATTATAACAAACGCCATTCTCAACATTGCAGTTTACAAGAAAACACTGGTGGCTGTATTTTTCAGATGAATCCGCAAACACCTGTGTGTACCAATGATTCTGCAAAATTGGAATGACGCTACGAGATCCTTGTTGGAAGCTATAAATAACAAGATGAAGAGAGAAATACAAGTTGCAACCCATCCTAAATAATCCCTGTGGAGACACTAGAAGTCGCGTTTATCATCAATGAGTGCTCAGGGATGTATGTAAGACCTGTTACACCAAAAATGGGTTCATAAACAAAATCTCGATATTTGGATATGCCTTAGGCCTCACATATCCAGAAGAAAAGTCGCATGCTCCACTGAATAAAGAACTAGACACATAAAAGGCGTGCAATTTTGTCCCTCTCAGCATAGGTTTTCGTTTCATGTCAAACGCAGATACATGACATAATATTAATACATGGCTAGCTATCCAATCATAAATAGATCTCATAAAAAGAAGCATTAACCACACTTCTAACATAATCCAATTTCACGGGCAAGGAAAATAATAGAACGAGAAAATTGAACAAATGTATACCTTTCTCCTTAACATAAATCTGTAAAGTGTCGAGAGTGATTATGCCATCAGTCAATGGAAGTAGCTCAAGCTTAATGGTTGCCGTAGATCGAGCAGGAACACATCTGAAGCACTTGATGTCAGTATTACCATTTGTATATTCAGAATTCAGAACAATATTACAGAAGTTGATGAATTACCCTAGTGGTACTCGACTCTGCAGCCAGAGATGAGTACATCCCAAACCAGAAGTTGGAATGAAATCAGCAATCTGAGTTAACTGCTCATTGGAAGAAGTAAACCTAGCCCTAGCGTTACTAGCGTTACCATTCTCTTTCTGATTATCAGAAGCATCCCTCTGACAACCTACTTTCCCCGCAAGCTCAGAAAAGCCAACAAATGGGCTCCTTGGTGCTGTCGGAGAATTCAAGGATACTACAGATGGAGGTGAGGTAAATGATGTTGGAGCAAAAACTGTCATAGTCAGATCTTCGGGAGACAAATTTGAAGCCTGGAGAGTTAAAACCTGACAATCATACGGGTTAATGAGAACTGTCAAAGTTAGATAAATGGACAAGTGTGCAAGCAAAAAGATAGAGAGTGACGAGCAAATTGTATAAAACCTGAACTGGAAGCTGAGTAACTCCTTCATTAGGTCCAGAATGTTGTCCTGACATTTCAGATGCAACTGAGATCAAAAGATCCCTAGGAATCCGTGGTCTCCAACTTGTTGGCTGCTTGAAAAACAATCTTGATTCTACACATAGAATAAAAAAAAATTGATATCTTAATAGATAGAACATGTAGTGAACACAAAATTTACAAGATCACACTATAAACCAAGAGAAATGTACATACCTGTGTAGTTGCAATGACATGATACCATAACTGCATATTGGTTAACAACTGAATCACTCCCTTTTCTACTTGAAGTCTGGGAAGGGGGTTGCAAACAAGAAAATTTAGATTTTTCTCCGTAAGTCTTGACATCCTTCCAGACGGAAGACAGTGATTTTAAAATAAAAGAGTGCTCTTCACCCCTCCTGCAACAAAACCATCAATAATAAAGTCATGAGAATAGACAACCCTTCCCACTTCCCAGCACCATGAGATGGCAGATAAAAATCACAATCTTTAATTCAAACACAATTTAAGATATAAGATAAATATATGGACACCAAAGGCCGTCCTCATCAGGCAAGGGGGGTTGTTAATTTACTGTTCAATATTCCACAACAAATAGGCTTTCTAGCTCATCAAAAAAGTACTAGCGAAACTGTGCCACGTATTCTAAGCAACCATGTCTGGAACTCTGGACACAGCAGCAAAAGATTAATATTTTTCTTTTTCCGGGGTAGATATCTAACCATCGTGCTAAAATACTAAACATCAAAGAGCCATTAGAAAAAAATTGAAGGGGCCAAGAGTGAAAACAACCTCAGTGCAAGGTTTGGCAAACTATGGTCATCTCCAGCTTCAATACATGAAATTGGTAGGGACACAGGTGGTCCAACTTTAGAAGCCACTTCCAAAACAACTGATACAGCATCTATGTATACGACAATATCTGGTATGTTTTCTGGAGAGACATTCTGAAATATAACTTCAATGGTGAATATTAGAACCATGTGATGAAGTCCGCAAGAGTGAAAATGAAGTGTTTACTTTTATCAAGAATAGTGAACACTAAAGTTTACCTTTATCTGAACACAAAGAAGGTCGTCTGTATTGCAGTTGGTAGCATAAGAATGGATCTCAATAGGTTGAATTATTTGAAGTTTCCTCCTCCATCTTCTTCCTGGGATACGGATCCCTTCTAATCCACAATGAACAGAATATCTTTCTCGCTCTAGTGACACACCTCGAAAAGATAAAAGCTCTTCAGTCCCTGTGTTTTTACCCTTTAAATTCTTCTGAGAAGAGGAATGATCCACCTCATTAAGGTCAAATGATGGTTTAGAACTTTGGGCTTTAACAGGTCCCGAAGGAGGTGTAACATTTTGAGGAAGTGCTGACACGGAGTAACTTCTAAAACTACTAAAAGAAAAGAGCTGAGAGGACCTCTGAGATGTGCTACCGATTCCAGAAGCAGGTCCTAAAGGTGGAAGGGATGATGTATAAGGTGCAGGAAGAGTGTTATCCAGAGGAAGCAACCATTTCAACAGTTCTCCACATGGGTCTTGCTTTGCATACACTAAGTTGTCCCGATTCTCAGAAGAAACGTTTCTGACGCAATATTTCTCAAACTGAAGAATCTCAATCACAGGATCTCTAAGAAAATCAACACCAACATTCACTTTTAAAAGAACCTGCATCCTTCCAAACAGAGAAATAGAATGACAATCAGTACTCTGAATCAATAAGTAACCCAGCAAGGAGATAAATATAAGCAAAGCTAAAATATCAATTAAAACAAATGAATACGAAAAATAAAAAAGGAGGGGGACATATAAGAGCTTCTGCAATCAATTGCAGAATATTTGTCCCTGAAAACTGTTTAAAATCTTTATCAGCTTTTTGAAAAATCCTAGATACATGAATGAGCCAATGGCCAGGTTGCAATGTATAGCCTACTTAAAACACAATCTCATCACATTTAATCTACATGAGAGGTGGCGTCTTTTAGGTTGGTCAACAGGAACCCTCATAAGCAAGCCTCTCTTGGTAGGCATTTACATGAAATCAAGTTACAAAGAAATGGCACCCCAACCTCGTCAGCTAACAAAATTAAGCACAAAAACATCTCCACCATTTTTCCAAAGTCAAAGGAAATAGGAATACAAAATAATTAACAATATAGTTCTGTGATGCTTACCACTATATCTCCATTGGAAAGAGAGCAACACTTAATAGCATCTCTAGCTACTCCACCAGAAACATTGGCATCGAAACTTCCTCTATCAATTACTGCATTTTGTGTAGATATGTTATTGGAAGTGTTTTTGGTTTCATTTGCAATTGATTGTTGGCTATCCATCTCAGACAATTCAGAAGCTGTCCTAGAAGCACCTTTTTTTGACCAGAGAGGCTCACCAGACTCTGCAATCCTGACAAAGAAATGAGAGTTCTTAAACCTTTTCAACCGTGTTTCAGTCTGTCTTATGTGGTCTTCCATCCTAAGAAATGATTCACTAGCAGAGACATCCTTTGCAGGATCAATCTTATCTTTCTCCAAGTTGTCACCATTCTGATCCATTACTGCACCAGTAAGACTCACATCTCCTCCTTCGGGCACTGGATTTGTCTCGCCCTCCATGTTTCCAATTTGTTTACGAGCAGCCTTTCTCTTGCCATTTTTACTCATCACTGCAGCAACTTTAAATGGGGTAATAATTTCTGTTTCCTGATTACATGCTGATAAGCATGCTAGAACATGAACTTGTTCACCTGAAAAAGATAACAGGATTAAGTTTCAATTTACAAACACATATCTAGTATATGATAACAAATCAACATTATGCTGAATCTGAAAGAAGTGAGAAGATTGAAAGAGACAGATACCAGGAAAAACAAAAGAACGATCCAGGGAACGTAATGAACGTATGTCCGGTGCATGGTTCCAATCATCAGGAAGATCCTCTACAAACACAATATCAAAATCAGGCATAAAAGAAAGAAATATCTCATAAACTGTGAATTAATTCATGAAATAGATCAACAAAACCAAAATATGAACTTCAGGAAGATATAATTGGTAAACAAACCATGTCAAGAAATTCTAATCAAGTCGAAATATATCTAACATAATTCCAGCAAAACTGGTCATTTAACTTCTACATTTCAGTAACCAGGACATTTACCTTTCCAGACACTCTAGTTTCCAGAAATATTAAATCAGAGATAAAAACAAGCATCAGGCCATTGCCCTTCTATAGAACCTTAATTATTTGTATTCAAAAGCAAATTGGTCCAACAAATACTATGGGGTAATACACTCAAAACAAGTACTTCTTTACAATTTGAACATTTTCAAAGGAGAAAGGAAAGGGAGAAAAAAAGAAATAAATGAGCAAAAGCAAATCATTGAAGCCATAAGTAGAGACCGATAAACTACGAGAATCACCAAGTAGTGTTTAGATTAATATGCACTTACTATATGGAATAGTGATCCATCCATCTTCTTCAGAAACATCAATGTGATTCTCCGGGACAGAAGATTTCTTATCACTCCCAACTCCAGCATTCTCACCTACATACCTATCGGTTTGTGAATCATGGTTTTCAACTGTAGGGTACTCTGGAAATTGATCTTCAGCTATAAGCCCGTCCAAAGATGTCACGGAATTAGAAACAGAAATAGACTCTGACACCTCTTCTGATACAGGAGGAGGTGGTTCTGGCGTTGCCTGTTGATTGGACCGCGGCAGAAGAAAGTTCATTGTTTCCACCAAAATCAGCTTCTGCAAAATAAAATTCGAAAGATACTTTACAACTAGAATACTGAAAGCACAACTTGAAACAGAGACAACACTACCAAAACATGTACTTTTCAGGCTTGTTTCTCATTCCAAATCAATCATGTTTCAAACTCGGCTCGATTTCTCTCAAACAAAACTCAAGGGTAAATGTAAGAAAGCTTTATGAATAAAACTACTCTGCAAACATTCCCCTTTCCAACAGTAACCTTAACTAGATCATTTTTCTTTCCACTAACCGAACGTTGCCCTTAAGTCTATGAATTACATTGAATTTCAGTTCACAATAAAGTTGAAGTAAAATAAAAGGAAAATAAATAATTCTAACAAAGTAAAATCACTAAATAAATCTTTTATACTGGATTAAGCAGGGAACAATCTAAAATTCCTTATTTACTTATCACGAAAATTTATAAGCAAGCAATTCCAGAGTAGGAAAATTTTCAATTTTAAAAAAAGGAAGAAGAAAATCAAAATACAAAAATATGAATAGAAATTTTGCTTTCGATCAGACATGGAAAAGGAATGAGAAAATTTGATGATTGGAAAAGGAAATCGTAAATGGTTTACCTGATCGGAGATCAAATGCTGTGGAGGGTTTTCTGTTTTATTTTAGTTGTTGTCTCCAGTGCCTGGGATATGGGAGATTCAATTTGCTAACGACACTTATTATTAACTTGATCGGTTCTTCGATCTGGTTCTACGCCGTCTGATTACTTTCATCGGGCGTTTCAATCTGAGTTACTTCGGCCCGAGTTAGATTGGTACGAGGATAGGCCCTCAGCATTTAGCCCAATCCACTTTAGTAGTTTACTTCAGCCCACCCCTACTCAAATAATTGCCTTCATCCCTTTTCTTCAATCTTTGTTAAATAAAATTTAAGGATAATTGATAATGATGATGATGATAATAATGGTTTGTTTTTATTTTCAAGTTATAAAGTAATAATTAAATGATGTATACAAAGAATATTTTTTTGGTAAAAAAATGAAAACTAAAACTAAATCAACTAATTAAACTTTTGATATCATCGTTCCCCTAACATTGTTGCTTTGTAAATATACCAAGGGTAAATCATGCAAATGGTCTCCTAACTATAGATATTATTTTGTTGAGTTCATCGGTTATCGAAAGATATACAATAGTCACATAACTATTCATTATATTACAAAACTATCATTTTCTATTAAAAATTGATGACAGTCAAAACTAAATGTTAATATACTGACTAAAATATAATAAAATTTATCTTATAATCTCAAAAAATTATTATATCTAAGTCACCATATTAACGTCCAACTCATAGAACCATTAATTTTTTAAAGGAAAAGAACGAATTTTGAACATAAAAAATAGTTAGAATATTATTTTTATAATTTTTAATAGTCGAGGAATTTAATAAAATTAAATCATATAATCAGATATCATTTATGTACTCTATCCATATATTAAACTAGGGGTGTTCGCGGTCGGTTTGGATCGGTTTTTGGCTAAAAATTCATCCGATCCGAAAGTATAATTGTTTGCGGTTTGGATCGGTTTGGATGTTTCTAAAAAAATACGATCTGATCCAATCCAATTAAGTACGGTTTGATTCAGTTTGGATTTGTTCGGGTTTTGGATTCTAATTTTTCAAAATAATTCAAAGCAACAACACTGTCTAAGGGGGTCAAACAGTTTCAACATTTCACATCCTAAGCTAACATCGATCGAATAAACACCGTTGATGAACATAAAAGGAACAATATCAGCTCCCAACCATAATATTAGGCAACTCATCAAAATTGCTAAATCCATCAAATTTCAATTCAATTCTCAACTAATCTACATGGATCAGCAAAACAAACAATGGTAGAGTATAAACAAGACCGATGATGGAAATCATATCATCCCAACACAAATGGTTCAGGATTTATCTTAACTGCCTTGCTTTCCAAAATCTCCACATGTTTCAATGACGTGACCAGCGCTAAATTAGATCTTCTGTTCCCAGTATCCACTTCTCCCTCCAATGCACCATCATCAGGCTCCTTCCTATGCAATTAAATTAGATCATTTCTATGGAACATAATTAAATATGCATAAAAGGTTCCCTTCTATGCAATTAGGCATTCCAGTACTGTAAACATTCACCAACACCTGAAAACACATATCATAACATTCAATGTAATGAAACAAAAATCAGACTTTAAAACCCCCGTGGTAAACCATTTGTGTACGGGATTTAGCATTTCCGGAAGGTAGCCACCGATTCAATCAATGAAACGTTTCTTCTAGTTTCATTAAAAAAAATAAGTCTATCAGATTAATTAGTAAATAATTTTGTTATGAAGCAAATTTTCAGTTATTCTTATTCAAGAATAAGATCAATTGCGCTGAAATATGAATCAATTGAATTTCATCTTCACAGATAATCATACTTCTAATTTACTTCAACATCTCGTTAATCCCAAACCCAGAAGGATTTGAAAACAAAGAATTGCATAGCATTTCAGCCATATTAACAAGAAGAAAATTCATATTAAGAAACAAATATAACCGACGTTGCTCCACTTTCAGATAAAACCCACCACTATTTCAGCACAAATAAAAAAAGGGTAATCGAAAGTACCAAAATTAAATCCAAATTCTAACGAATTGCCAAAAAAATCGATTAAAATATGAATAGGTGAAGAAAGAAATAGCATTTAATTGAACAAAGAGAATATGATATACCTGAAAGCCAAGACCCAACAAAGAAGAAAAAGATTCGAGCACCGTTGCTGAAAAGAAGAGAGAGAGAGAGAGAGAAAAGAGGAAGCGAAACAGTAGCGTGTAAGAGAGAAGAAGATATGCGATGGAGCGAAGAGGCGGAGTAAATTGGGAAAAGTGGGCTAGGTTTCAGTTTTTGGCCTAAACATCAAACGATGTCGTTCTGCTAGATAACCAACTATCGGTTCGATTCGGTTTAGATCGGTTCCGGGCGTCCAAACCGAAACCGAATCGATCTGTTTTTTTTTTAAATAAACACACTAAATCGTTTCGGTTTTTTTATCGATTTTTTAGATCGATTTTCGATTTTTTTTTGTTCGGATTGAATCTGAACACCCCTATATTAAACTATTTGGTGGTTCTTTTAAGATCATTAATGATCGTATGTTAAGTTTGCAAAATGATTCGTATATTTGTTGTCTTTTCAGAAGATGTGTTAAATTTCCTTCACCTTCCCTGCATGCATCAAGCGTTCGCAATCCTTAATTAACGTATGTATTGGATGTTCTTGCGTATACTACTTTAACATTTAATGCATAAACCACCCATCTTGGGTCTAATGGATAAAATATTTTCTATAAAATAATATATTTATGAAAATTAAATTTATAAATTATTTAAACATATTTAGCCTAAAAGGCAAGTTCAAAATCATTTTCAAACAATCCACCCTCTCTTTATATTTATATATAATAACATTCAATTTCATCAAATTTAATTCTAATAAATTAAGCACTAATTCTTATAACTAATACATATATGATATCATAAATTACCAAATGTGTAAATCCTCTACCGTCTACACTAATTGCATGCTAATTCCATGTTTAAAAATCATATCCTCTATCCTCTTCTTGCAGCTCATCAAGAAGCACAAATGTCGTCCAAGAAGCAATCTTTTTTCATTATCTTCGTCTCTTTGTTCTTCCTTTTCTCATTCCTGGAGCTAAATAAAGCTAACCCATCAGTTTTCGTCACTCCATCTCCACCTTCGTCCATAGTATCAGGGGGTTACTGGAAGCTCCTACAATCAAGCATAGGTATCTCCGCCATGCACGTCCAACTCCTACCAAACAACAAAGTTATCATCTTTGACCGAACCGACTTCGGCCCTTCCAATCTCTCTTTACCCTACGGCACCTACTGTCCTGGAAGCGACTGCACCGCTCACTCCGTCCTCTACGACGTCGATTCCAATACTCTCCTTCCTCTCCGCCTGGTAACCGACACTTTTTGTTCCTCCGGTTCCCTGGACCACGATGGCACCCTCGTCCAAACAGGTGGGTTCGCCCAAGGTGATCACTTGATCCGCACCTTCACCCCATGCGACTCTTATGATGATTGCAACTGGAACGAACTCAACCAAACTCGTCTCGTCGATCGTCGATGGTATGCTACTAACCAAGTTTTACCGGACGGGAGAATCATCATTCTTGGTGGTAGAAGGGTTTTCACCTACGAGTTTTACCCTAAAGATGACTTCCTTAACAATAACAAAAGCACTTACCTTCAATTCTTGGTGGAAACTCGGGACCCTGATGAGAACAATCTTTACCCTTTCTTGCATTTGTTACCAGATGGAAATCTATTTATTTTCGCCAACAAAAAGTCAATCTTGTTTGATTATAGAAAAAGCATTGTTCTAAAACAGTTCCCTCTAATTCCTGGAGATGATAAGAGAAATTATCCTAGTACCGGCTCTTCCATCTTGCTTCCATTGAGGTTGTCTTCAACGGGCCCACCTGTGGTGGAGGTGCTCGTGTGTGGAGGTGCACCGGCCGGGGCGTTCTTGAAGGCGGATAAGATGAAGGTTTACGTAGAAGCATCGAGGACATGTGGCAGGTTGAGAGTGAACGACCCAGAGCCGCAATGGCTCATGGAGTTCATGCCCATGCCACGTGTAATGCCAGACATGGTACTGTTGCCTACTGGTGATGTAATCATTATCAATGGCGCGGCAAACGGGACTGCAGGTTGGGAAGATGCAGTAAACCCGGTTCTCAACCCGGTTCTTTACTCGGTGAACGAGGAACCTGATCGGAGATTCACTGTTTTGTCCCCGTCAAAGATACCAAGATTGTACCATTCCGTCGCAATGCTTCTCCCAGTAGGCAGTATATTAGTGGGGGGTAGCAATCCGCATACTAGCTACGTATATACAGGATTATACCCAACCGAGCTGAGCTTGGAGGCTTACAACCCCTACTACTTGGATCTGAAATTCAACTCGATAAGGCCATCCATTATATCGGTGGAGTCGTCGGGGAGTTCCGTATTATACGGGCAGAGATTCGGGATTGCCTTTTCGCTGTCGCTTTACAAGCAGGGGGAGGCGTTTGCGGCGTTGATTTCGCCTCCGTTTACGACTCACTCGTTCGGGATGAACCAAAGGATGGTAGCTTTGAAAACGGCGAGCGTGGTTCAATTGACGATGTTCGAGTACAAGCTGCAGGTGTACGGACCCATCAATGCCAACGTGGCACCTCCTGGTTATTATATGTTGTTTGTGGTCCACTCTGGTATTCCTAGTCACGCCGTTTGGGTAAAGGTAACGTGATCTATACTTGGGCTAACTTTGCTTTTGTAAAAAGGTTAATAATACTCTCGGTGAAAACTACAAAGCATCTCAAGCTTGAATTTTTATCCTTAAAAAATTAAATCTCTTATTTTTCATTCAAAAATTATAGTTCAAACGTTAAAATTTTAAATTTTTATTTTCTTTTCTTTTAAAATCAATGCAGTTATCAATTTAAATTTTTTAAATACATTAAACCTCAAACATTTAACAAACACAGATCAAACAAAGAAGAAAGCAAATGGAAAGCTCAACCGTATACAGATACTGTAGCCAAGGATTTTGAGACCCCAGATTTACTGGCTTATTGCCAGTACCCGATAAGCACCGAGTCTGGCTGTTTATACATTTAAAGGAATTCTTTCTGTCCCAAAATGTGACATTTAACTTTGGTCGAAACCGATTTACTTGCTAGCTCCTGCCGATCTGTATTGGTAACGCATGGCCCAGAAAAGGTAATGCAAGAAATTCAATGCGCTAAGCACACACATAAGCCAGTAGAACCTGTCCAGATGATAGCGATTTATTGTATGAGCTGAGAGCCATGGCGAGTGCCCTGAGTTATCTGTCACACTATTTACTATCGATACAATTACAGAGCTTAAATAATACCCCATTGCCAAGGAAGCCCAGGAAAGTGATGTAGCCAATGATCTCATGCTTGAGGGTGCCTCGGTGAAGAAAAACTCTAGTAACCCTGCCAAGGTGAAAAGATCAGCTGACCCTAGGAACAAATACTGCAATGCAATCCAGAAAAATGTAATAGGTAACGGAGCGGGTGAATCAAGTAGCCCTGAGTCAGTTGCCACTCTTTTTCGCTTAATTTCAACAAGTGCTGCCACTGCCATGGATATTATGGAGAGAAATAACCAATCCCGATTCTTCGCAAATGAGTGATGCCCATCTCGGTTTTCGAGACTCTTCGAGCAAATGGGATAATCAAGTGGTCGTAAACTGGGGCTAGGATCATGATGAACACCACAGGAAAAACCGGTAGTGAAGCTGGTGGAATTTTCATTGAACCAAGCTTAGTGTCCATGGTAGAAGCTTGTTCAACTGAAAATGTGGAGAGCTGAGCTAGGCAGCAGTTGAGAACAATGGTGCAAGCAAATATGGGAAGGATTTTTAGCACAATCTTGACTTGTTCTACTTGTGTCACTGAGCATTCGAGTGCGGGGTGAGCTGGCTTATTCACCACTGCTCTATTTAGGAATTTAAGGCTTTGTGTTGGGATTTGCTCTGCCTCCTTACTTTGTTTAGCATTTTCTTCCACTTCCTTGCTTTGGTGCCAAGGGCTTACGGAGAGGTTGACAATGGCATTGCTTGAATTTCTGCTCATGCAACTGTTGAGCATAGCAGCAACCAAAACCTGTTCGAGTAAATAAAACCCATGCTTATCCTTTTAAGAAAGCAATCAAGTTAGACTATTGAAGTGAAATCGTTGCAGAAAACAAAATTTACCTTGCAAATGGTTGTAAGTGGGCTGCCAGAGGGTATTTTGTTCCTATAAAACGTTGAGCCAAAGAGGAAGATTGGGATTTGAAGATACTATTTTTTTTATCCATTTTATTATCATTATTATTAAATATTATTATTATCATTATTAATATTATTATTAGTATTATTATTATTATTTTTATTATTATTATTATTATTATTATTATTATTATTATTATTATTAAATATATTAAATACAAACCAATTACAATTAAACCGGCTCAGTTACAAACCAACTGAAACCGGTCCAAATCCAACCGGAAACCCTAAATATTTGGGTTTCCAGTTAGGGTTTCCTAACCCTAATCATCCTCAGCCGCCTCATCACAGCCGTTGGATCTGGCACGATCCAACGGTCCACATGGCTCCAGAGAGGAACCCTAGGGCCACGCGGCGCCGCTCCAGCTTCCACGCGGCTGCCGACAGCCCTCGCCGCCTCCGCCGCTGCCACGCCTCCATCGAAGCCTCCAGAAGACCCAGATGGCCACCCACGTTGCTACTCTAGCAGTGAGTCACCACTGGTAGTCCGGTGACTCACCGAAGGGTAGTCTATTACCCAGTCCGATGACCGCACCGGTGGTGGCTATAAAAGCCACCACCCACCTGAAAAAGAAAAAAAAAAGAAAAAGAGACAGAGACAGAGACAGAGAGACAGAAACAGAACCGGGAAAAAAAAAAACAGAGAAAAGGAAAAAAAACAAACTATACCAACGATCTCAGCAGCAAAGAACCAGAAGAAAAAAAAAAAAGAAAGAAAAAGGAAGAAGAGACTTACCGAGGAAGCGTTGACCACCGGATCTCGTCAGAACCTTCGAAACATCGAAGGTATTATTTTAGATTTGCTCCGTTTGGGAGCAGTTTAACGGAAAAAAACGTCGGAACCGTCATTAGGACGGTCCGATCTACATTTAGATAAAAGAAAAAATTTTCCGGCCACCGAAGACGGTGGCCGGCGGCGGTGGTTGACGGCGGATGAACGCCGGCTAACGGCTGCCGGCCGACTGAACCTCTCTCAGTCTAGAGAGAAGACAGAGAGTTCTTCTCTCTGTTTGAGAGAAAGAAAGAAAAAAAAAAGAAGAAATGAAATGGCTGGCCCTTCGGGCCAGCCGATTTGGACTTTTATAGTCCTTCCCGAACGACGTCGTTTCGGGAAGGACTATGCGCGTGATTATGGAAAAGTTAAATCCCTTCCGCAGTCCTTCGTACTTGTAAACTTTACATTTTAGTCACTAAATTAAATTTATAATATTTTTAATTCAGTCTTCGAATTTTAATTTCTTTTATTTTAGTCCTTCATATTAAAATAATATATTTAGGATAAATTACAGATTTAATCCCTTAATTTTAATAAATAATTTTTTAGTCCCTAGTTCATACTTTTAATTTATTTTATTATAAAATTTGAATTTTAGATAAGTTTATTTTGGTCATTAAATTATTAAATAAAAAAAAATATATTTAAACCCTATAAATTCAATTAATTAGTAATTAGTAATTAGTAATTAGTTTTATTTTTATAATTTAGTTATTAATTTTATATGTCTTTATTTATTTTATTGTTTTTAAATATATTGTTTAATAGAATTATTATTTTATTATATTGTTAAATATTTGATTTATATTCATAAATATATGTAATAAATATTAACTTTTAAATATTTATTTTTAATATAGAAGAAAAGGACAGTCTTAATACAACTGGATGTCCTATTCTGATGTTTTAAAATTAAACAATATTATTTAAATTAATATTTATCAATATCAAAGAAAAGAGCTGTCTTAAGGCACCTAGAAGTTCTTTTCAGATATTTTTAAATAAATAAATATTTTTTTACAATTTTAAAATTATAAGATTATAAATTAAATATATTTTTGAATTGTTAAATTTTTAATAATAGAGACAATTTATAATTAAAAAAGTACTAATTTTGGGCGTTGTAGGGGTGCTAATCCTTCCCTAAATGTAACCGACCACGAATCCCTTTTTATTATTAAAAAGAATGAATTTTTGGTTATAAAACGCAGATCAGTTCGATTTTTTTAATTGATGTTTTCTTAAAACTCTTTTAAAAAATAATTTTTAGGTATTCGACCTACCTAATCCAAAAAGGCCGATGGCGACTCACAAATTATTTTCAAAATTATTTATTAATATTAATTTCCCCGCCAAATTTTAATATTTCGTGCCCGGACGAAAACCGGTTACGACAGCTTGGCGACTCTGCTGGGGACCCTGGTCAAACTTTTAAAAATCGATTATAATTTGTCTCTATTAATTAAAAATTAAAAATTCATATATTTAATTTTAATTCTTTCTTTTCAAATTTTTTATTTATTTATTTTATAATATTTATATGTTTTATTTTATTTGCAAGTATTTTATTTCAGTATTTATTTTTATGTCAAAAGTTTAACATTTCTCCTCACACATAACACTTGCATTGCATAACATAAAGCTCTATAATTGAGTTGTCCCTTTTAAGTGGAAGTGAAAGCGACGTCTTCATGAGAATTTATTCTCCGTGTCAGACCTAGCAAGTAACTTTCGGGGTTCATATGCTCTATGTCTTCGTGAGAATTTATTCTCCGTGTCAGGCATAGAGAAATGTATCCCCTCGAATTGAACTCAATCCACTTTAGTCTGTAATGGACTAGGATTGAGGGTTAGCAACCCAAGGGGGCACTAACAAGGACAATTCGGGTACCTTTACTCCTAGATCTGAAACCCTGCATATAAAAAAACCTTAGAAACTCTTCCAATCCGAAGTCATGCTGAAATTTTGTCCAAAATAGGTGTACACACAGGAGAAATGAATTCTGTCTTTCCTGTTAATCTATTTATTGTTTAAATTACATGTTTATTTAAATTATTTAAATTTAGAAAAGCATGTTTAAATTAAATAAATGTTATTATTGAATTTTTTATGTAAACTAATTTATTTTCTTTTTTGTGTGTTCTTTATTTTTCTGTTTGCATTGCATCATACAGGATAAAAGACATTGATCCTTGTGTTAATTGTCTCATTGGAAAGCCTTCATCTATGGATAAAAAGTGTTCAAATCAAATAATTCTGAACTCAGAAGTAAGACAGTGGGCTGAGGATTTACAAAGACAAGAAGGAGATAGTCTGCAGGATGATTATGTATCTGACTTGGCCAGTTATGCTTCAGTTTCACTAAAAAGAAATGATATGCAAGATTTGCGAAGCATTTGGGAAAGTTGGGATTCAAACAAAAAATTGCAGTTTTATCAGACTTACGGAGACATCCCATATCTGCTCTATGTAGAAGTTGATGATGAATTACTCCGAGCCCTAGTTCAATTCTGGAATCCCGGGTACAATTGCTTCACTTTCAATAAGGAGGACTTGGTCCCTACTATTGAAGAATATACAACTTTACTACATCTCGAAGGTGCTTTGGAGAATCGAATTTATTCAAAGTCAATTAAAACTCAACCCTTTCGAGTTAAATTAGCAAAGATT